GGGGCCTGGGGCGGGGGGGGGGTGACAGTGATGCTGGCTGCAGCTGCCCTGGGGGTCCCCACTCCTCTCCAGGGTTGGGATGTGGGGGATTGCATTGCCTCAGTGACTACGTACAACCTAAATACCGTTTCCTGTGGGAGGGGGGGGATTGTGTGTGTCTACGTGCGTGTGTGCATGGATGTATATATATATATATATTTATTTATAGATATTTTTAATATTAAAAGGGGGGAAAAATAGACCACTGTGCTAGCAAAGTCCCTGATGATGGTTTCATGTATGCCCGTAGGTCTCTGGCTGGTGATTCCGGCGGTTTCGAGGCTTCTTCTGCTCCTGTTGCTCCTTGGCTTTGAGGCCAGCCAGCGGCTGCGGGGGGCTGGCAGCTGTGTGCCGCCAGTAGCCCTGGCAGTACTGGTCCAGGAGTCCCATTTCAGGCTGGGTGAGGAGCTGCAGCAGGTCCTGGTAGCGGGGAGTGGGGGCACCCGGCAGGCCGGGGGGGGTCTCCGCCTGGACCAGCACGGCGTGGACGGCACGGCTGCTGAGGACGCGGAGTTGCACCTTGGTCACGGTGTGCTTGAAGTTGTTCTCAGTGGCGGTGCAGGAGTAGAGGCCGCTGTCGGCGAGCTGGAGGGCGCGCAGCAGCAAGCCCTGCTCCGTCCGCAGCACCCGGCCCTCCACCCGCAGCTGGGGAGGGAGAGGTGGCATGGCTCAGGCGGCTGGCGCCCAGCCCGCCCCGGCACCCCCGGCACAGCACCCTACCCTACCTCTTTCCGCCGGTCACTGTTATCCTTTTGCAGCAGCCACTTGACACTGGCCTGGGGTGAGCGGGGCTGGCACTCCAGGAAGGCGGTGCTGCCTTCCACCCCGTACTGCACGGCCTCCACTGCGTTCTTGTTAGCTGCAGGGGTGGGTCATGGGCAGCCGGGTCACGTGCCTCCGTGCCCCTGCCCCACTGCCCTCCTGCCCAGCCCACTGGCTCTCCAAGGGAGAGCTTCTGCCTACACCCACCCACAAGTCTGCCTGCTCCCCAGCCACCCTAGCAAGTGTGCTTCTCCTCCTCTAGTGTAGCCCTGCTTCCACAAAGGTGTCCGTCCATCCATCCATCCATCCATCCATCCATCCATCCATCCATCCATCCATCCATCTCTATCCACCCATTGAAATTGCTTGTTCTCCTCCCCAACATATCCATCTATCAATCCATGTTCATCCTACTCCCCAGTGTATCCATCCATCCATCCATCCATCCATCCATCCATCCATCCATCCATCCACCCACCCACCCATGCATCTGTGGTCATCTTCATCCTCAACATATCCATTCATCCATGTTCCTTCTCCCCCTCAGTGTATCGATTCTTTCATCAGTTCATCCACTGATCATCCATCCATCCATCCATGCTCACCCTCCTCCCGTACAACCCACCAGGGTATCTATCCTCCCATGTCCCCCTGTGGCTGTTGCCCACCCCCTGCCCCTACTCTCCACACGTCCCCCCAGCTGCCCCCCCATGCTGTGGGGCTGTGCCCCAGACCTCACTCACCGTTGGAGTTGTAGCCTCGGCACTGGCGGATGGGGTTGCCATGCCGGACGTCCTGCCGCCGGCTCCGCCTGCAGGGAGGTGGGAGATGAGCAGGGGAGCCTGGGGCCGGGGGGTCCCTCCCTGCTGCTCTCCCCTGGCCCCCCGTACCTCTTGGAGGAGGCAGAGTAGCGGGTGCAGGCGCTGCCATCCCAGGCACAGTAAGGGTCCCGGGCCAGGCAGCAGTCAGCACAGGCTTCCCCGTAGATGTCACAGCGGTGCAGGGCCAGGTGGGTCACACCTACAGCCGAGGACACGTATAGCTGTTGCTGTTGGGGCACAAAGAGGACAGGGTGAGATGCTATCTCTTCCCCACCCATAAGGACCCCCCAGAATGAGTTGCAGCCTCCCAGTACAGAGACTGGCCAAGACATCAGAATCACCCAGGGCCACCCAAGCCAGCTTGCACTGGGGTCACCCTGTGCCTCCTGCTCTGGTGCTGCAGTGACACCAGGCAGCGTCACTGCCAGGACTGTGACAGGATCTGCTCAGGCCCCTGCCACATGCTATGACTCACCCTCTTGGAGGAGATGGTCATTGTCTTGATGGGTGCCGGCACCTAGATGGGAGTAGGAGCGAAGGAGATAGAGGGCCACCGCCTGGCCTGACACTGCAGTCCTGGGGTGGGCACCCCAGAGCCCCTGCAGGCAGCCGGGGCAGGCAGGGGCAGGGAGGGGGAGATGTGAGGAGGCAGCAGTCAGGAAGACCCATGCTTGGGGTCCCTCCAGAGCCGGTCAAGGGGCTGGCTGGTGTCCCAAGGGGCTGGTTCATGTCCCAAGGGGCTGGCTGGTGTCCCAGGGGGCTGGCTGATGTGCCAAGGGCCTGGTTGGCTGGGTCAAGGACACTCAGCAGAGGGTGGAGGACAGCCCAGCCCTTACCTTGAACACCTCAATCTCCTCCAGCATGAGTTCCTCTGTCTCCATGTCATCCCGGGGGAGCACGATGACCTTCTGCACAGTGCCCCGATCTGCAAGACACCATGGTGCCCGGGCACTCAGTGCCACCCCTGGGCACCTGCGCCCTCCTCTCCTGGGAAGTGGGTCCCTGCTGGGGCTTGGGGGAGGAAGGATCCACCCAAGCCCATCCCCATCGTTCCCTTGCTGCAGCAGGTGACTGTGCCAGGGTCCAGTGTACCAGCTCAGGTCACCGCCTGTGGCTAGGGACTGCCACCACCCAGGGTAGGGTGGGGACAGCAGCTGGGAACAAGCACAGGGGGCAGAGAAAGGACCAGGATGGGTTATGAGGGCTCTGGGATGCACATTAGAGCAGAAGAAGCGCCAGGCTGGATGACAGTGCCCCCAGAATGGGGACGCAGGCCAGAGAAGGACAGGGCTGGATGCTGGTGCCTCTAGGGTGGACAAATGGGAGGGGAAGGCGAAGGTTGGATGATGATGGGCTTAGGATGGGCAACAGGAAGCACATGGGATGGGCACTGGGGTTGGGAAACGATGAGGCTGGATGGTGGGGCCCCTGGTATGTGCATCAGGGCAGGGGGAGGACTTGGGCTGGATACTGGCATCCCTAGGATGGGAGGTATCATGCTGGATTGCTGGCTCCAGGAATGGGAACTGGGCTAAGGGAAGGACCAGGCTGGGTGGTGGGGTCTGTGGGATGGGCACTGGGGCAGGGGAAGAACCAGGCTGGAGCCTCGAGGAGGGGCAGGGATCTCAGGGGGGGTCTCAGCCCCTCACCCTGCTCCAGCATGGTGGAGGGCACCGTGCTCTGGCCAGCCCTGGTGGTGCCCGTGCCCTCCGGGGCCGCGCCGGAGCATGCTGCGTTCCCCGCGGTGCGCGGCGTGGGTACCTGTGCCCAGGAAAAGCACCTCATAGCGCCCGTCTGCCGCATCCACCTGGTCGACGGCCACGGTGGTGAAGCGGTAGTTGACGTTGGTGCGGACCACCAGCGGCTGGCGGTGGGTGGGGTAGACGGCGTGGTACATCAGCGGGTGCGCGCGCATGAAGTTGATCACTTCATCAGGGTAGTCCTTGGTTGACTTCATGGATGGGGTGAAGGTCCCCCCAGGGCACTACGGCACAAATGTCACCAGTGCTCGGTGACCCGGTATCCAAGCACGGGTTTGAGGGTGCTGGCTGCCTCGCAGGCGCTGGCTCACCCCACCACACGTGCCTGAAGGGTACTTACGGTGCCTGGCCGGGGGTAGGGCATTTTGCCTGTGTAGGGCATCCACTGGTAGTTGGGTCCCTCCTTGTGCGCAAAGGGCCCGTTGAAGACCATGCGGATGTCAGCCATGGAGTAGACGCACACAGCAGAGCCCTTGAAGACCGACCTGAGAAGAACAACCTGCTGCCACCCTCTGGCTTGGTGCTGCCCATTGCTGGGACCCCTACCCAGCTGGGCCCCCCCCACACCCTCCACTGCTCTGTGTTGGAAGGGTCACACTCACCCTGAAGCAGAGAACACGGCGTAGATAATGGGATTCTTGGTGTCCTGAGTCTGCTGGATGAAGACGTCCTCTTGGGACAGAAACATGGGGGTATCACAATGGGGAAGGTGGGCAGGGACCCCTTGCACCCAGGGACATCAGGAAAGGAAGAAAGTAGCTCCCCATGGGAGAGTAAGATGAGAGGGGCAGCAATGGGGGGTCATCAGCTCTCCCCAGGGTACCCTCTAAGCCCACAGGGGTGGAGAAGGCCCCCTTGTCCCCCTTCTTGTCCACTCACGGAGCTCATCAAAGTGTGTTTCAATCCCGTCAGGTCCTGGCACGGAGCAGACCAGACGGGCCTTCAGGAAGGTGCTCCACTTGTTCACAAGGCAGCAGTGGCCCCCATCGTCGTTCTGCAATGGAGGGACCCCCACACTCAGCCCTGCTCACGCCCCTGCCTGCTCCCCTGCCTGCCTGCTGGTTCACCTACCAGGCAGATGCGCCCAATGCGGGAATAGACCCCAGGGCTCAGCGGGGCATCGGCTGACTTCTCTCGGAAGAAGAAGTAGAGCTTGTCATCATTCCTCTCACTGCTGTCGGGGATGAGCTGGGCACGGATGAAAGCTGGGTCTGGAACAGCATGGCATGGCAATATCAGCCCAGTGGCACCCCCTGCCCTGTGTCACAGCAGGCTGCTGAGCCCTCCTCTTTTCCAGCATCACCCTGCTCCTGGAAAAGCACTGCTGTGGTTGCAGGGTGAGAGCTGGATCTGGACCAGAGCTAGAGAGGTGGGCTGAGCAACTGTGTCTCTCTGTCAGTCATCAGTGTTCCAGGAGGTAGCTTGGAGCACCCCTGAGATCCCTGGGAGCATCCCTGAAGTCCACGGGGTGGAGAACTCCAGCAGCTCTATAAGCAGGATGGTGGGAATGAATCTTTCCCCTAGGGAGGAACCACACTGCCTGGAAGCTTCTCAGGAAGCTTCTCCCTGCCATCCATCACTGGTGCCCAGCCTGCGTTGACAGCTCCCCCTCTTCGGGTTACCGCCCCGCTGGCTCCCTGGCCCGGCAGGATCATCCCATCTGCTCTGCTCTGTTTACTCAGCTGCCGCCCCGTGGGCAGGGGTGCTCCGAGGGGGGCAGGATGAATGCTCGGGGTCACTGACTGCAGGCAATGTGGTTGACATCTCAGCACCGCAGAAACCCACGCACAGACTCCAGCAGAGTCAGCCCCATCTCTCACTAGCTGGCTGCTCCTGCTGCCCAGCAAAGCTCCTGGCACATCTGTCACTGCCTCACAAAGTTAGCCCTCTGGTCTTCTGCATAGATTTCCTTCCATCCATCCATCCATCCATCCATCCATCCATCCATCCATCCATCCATCCATCCATCCATCCATCATCCATCCATCCATCCATCCATCCATCCATCCATCCATCCCATCCCACCACCTATACACCTGCCCATGCTGGCTACTGTCTCTGTCCTGCGAGGGCACAGTACAACATGATGGGTCTCATCTCTAGGGCTGGAGCCATGGGGTCTCCAGGGAACCTGAGCCAGTGACACCCGAACTCACCGTTGAGCCAGCGTGAATTATATTGGTCTGTCCTCATGGCCGTCTGCTTGCCCATGGTGCGGAAGATGGCTGCATCCGTGCCCATGAAGTCAATGTAGACACCAGCATACAGCTCTTCATCTGCAAAGAGCAGAGATCAGCTGGGGACTCCCACCTATCCCATCCACCCACCTTATCCCACTGCCCCGGGCTCCATCCAGCCCCAGCCAGTAGCCACCAGGCAACCAGGAGTCCTGTGGCCATCCCAGAGAGCTTGGGAGGTTGTCACTGGTCTGTAATGAGAACCCCCACCTCTGCTGGGTCAGGTGCCCAAGGACTGGGCATCCCAGGTGCCCAGCCATCAGCAGCTGGAGCGGGCAGGGGTGGCAGGGGCAGGAACCTGTCTCCTGGAGGGTATTTGGGCATCACAGGAGGACAGTGGGAGTAGTTGTCCCATCTTGCCTGCATGTTCCCTCTGCCCAAGGTAGGCAGCACTGGCCCCTGGGAGCTACAGGACTCACTTATTAATGCAGAGACGGTGTCTACTTTGGGGTCGTAGGAACACTTTCCCTTGCCCGACTCCAGCCTGTCTGGCTCCAGGTAGAAGATATAATCCTGGGGAAGGAAGCAAATGGAGGAGCTGGTTACACTTTCACCCCTCCATTCCTGTGGCACCTTCCAAAGCCCACCGGGAAAGGCAGCCTCCTCTGGGATAGAGCCCAGCAGTGAGGACGGATGCAGGTGGACCACACCAGGGGTCTGCAGGTCTCCTGAGAAGCTGAAGCCCCGACAAGCTACTCCTCCAACGTTGCTGGGTGCTTCTCTGTGCCCTCCACTGCTTGGAGACTTGGCTGAGCTGCCAGGCTGAAATGAAGCATCCACCTCCCAGATGCGCTTCTGGGCAAACATCTCCCTCCGGCTGCTGCTTTGCTCCAGCTGGTCATCCTGTGCATCGTCGCTTGGCCGGCTCCAGGTCACGCAGCTCCAGCAGGTGGGGTCTGGCCAGTGGCACACCTCGGCACAGCTCGGCTGATGAACCTGGCACACTCCTCTTGCCCGTTTTCCAGCAGGCACCACCAGGGTGGCATTGTGGTGAGATGCTGTGCCTGCTCCAGGGCATTTGCCCACGCTGTTAGGAGCCATCTCCCTGCTGTCACCATTAGGAGCCATCTTCCTGCCATTGCCTCTGCCTTCCCCAAGGCCATCCCCGGCACCATTACGTGTCCCCAGCCAGGAATGAAACCCACGCTGCCTCCAGAGATGCACACAAAGTCCTCTGCCGGTGCCAGCTGAGGGCAGGCAGAGCCAGGCTATCCCAGTCAGGTCACCCCTCATCCCTGGCGTGCAGATCCCTACAGCCGGGATGAAGCAGCAGCACCTGCAGGGACCCCAGGCATGGGGGTGGAACCTCAGGCAAACAAATCGAGCTGGTGGAGCTGCCCACTGGCCCTGTGCCCTGGCTTTGATGCAGGGGTGACTGACATGGTGGTGGCCACCCTCTGCCGAGAGGAGAGCAGAGTCCCCGGCTCCAGGAAAGGCAGGAGGGGGTGCAGAGCCAGGACACTCACTGTGCACATCGCCCACTGGAGGGTTTGCTCACACTGGCCTCCTCTGGCACACCCCAGACCCAGAGGTGGGCACGGCCATGCTTTTGCCATCCCCATCACTTCACCATGTCACCTGCGCCACCATCACTATCGCAAAAGGCTCTGCCCAACACTGGCCCTACTCCTGAACTTGGGAAACCCTTCATAGGGACAACCTGTCTCTCCAATGCGGCCCTGGCCCTGGCTGCACCATCTCACCCACCTGGTCAGGCAACCTACAAGCCGTCGTGGTGCTGGCACAGCCATTTGGCTAATGCACCTTGAAATGCATTGGAGCTGCCACAAAGTGGGTGCTGGCAGCCCCCAGGGAGCCCACATTTGTGACACAGGGACCCACATCAGGGAGTTTCTCCATCAGGATAGTGGAGCCAGAGCCGACAAGGAGGGAGGAACCAGTGGGGGGCCCGAGAAGACTGAAATGGCAATGGCACTTCCCCAGCTGGCAGTGGGGAAATCGGCAGCAGGAGCTGCCTGCAGACGGCAAGATGCTCATGGATGAGCATTGCCCTTTGTCCCACTACCACCCGCCCTTGGAGCAGAGGGGCCGGGGGACAGATGGAGGGGCAGGGGGGAGCCCCAAGCTGCCGCAGGGTGCCCGCGCCCCACACACTCCCTGGCCCATGCACTGACCCATGTTAGTCCAGGGGGGAGAGGCTCGGGGGGTGACACTGTCAGGGTGGGCTGGATGCTGGGTGTCCGCAGAAGCTGAGGACGCTGTTGCCTCCCTGAGCCCGCTTGACCCCTGGGATGACACAAGCCCCTCCCAGGGCAGGGCGAAGCAGCGGCTCAGTGAAGTTTTTGTAGACCATACCAAAACACCTGCACATCACCTTGGCATCCTCCCCTGAACCCTTCTGATCCCCATGGCTCTGCTGACATGTGGCTCTGCTTCCAAGGGAGGAACTAGGCAAAGTTGGCAGCACCAGGGAGAGCCACTATCCCTGACAGTGTCCCCCACAGGGGGGCCCGTACGCGGCCTGAGAGGAAGGAGTTAGTGAGAGGAGAGCAGATGCCAGGCTGGTGGCCGGAGGATTCTGTGCTGAGAGGGAAGGAAATGGCGGGGATGCCCATGGCACGGGGCGCCCGGCACAGGGGTTGGACACATGCCGGTGGGAAGGAGAAGGAGCCCGTGGCTCTGGCACGCCCCAGGGGAGAGGTGGGCATGGCTGCGGCGGGCTCCCAGACTGGTTCCCACCTTGCTTTGTGCTGGTCTCGGGCTGAGGGGGCCATCGGCGGATCTGCTCTCCCGGCCTCCCGGCTGGCTCGGCGGAAACCCCTGGGGAAAAGGAGCAGGGCAGAGAGTTAGCGCCAGCGGGGGCATAGACCCCCCGGGGCAGGGGTGGGCAGGGAGACACCAGGAACTGGGGTGATGGGTGCTCATGAAGCAGCAGAGCCATGATCCCCCCCCAGGTGGTGCTGGTGGGGGTCCCTAGATGCTGCAGGCTGGGTTGGCCTCCAGCAGGAGCTTCTCCAGAACGGATCCTGCTCTCTCCCACAGAACTGGGGTGCCCTGACATGGGGCAGGAGAGAGCAGAGAGGTGGATGCCTACAGCCAGCCAAGCTGGGCTCACACCCAGGGATGCAAAGATGGCACCTGCGCCCAGCTGGCAGCACCCCATGCAGAGGAGCAAGGCCGCAGCACCGAGCCACAGCGCGGGGGAAGTTACCGTCACCGCAGGGTCACTGGATCCCCCTGTCCCTGCCGCACCACTGCTGGCGGGGACACGCGATGCTGTCCTCAACTGCACCAGCACGCCCAGTCCTCCTCAAATGCTGCCACTGTCCAGTCTGGTCCCAGCCTGCTCCTAATCCAGTCCCAATCCAGTCCCAGTATGGTCCCAATCTGGAGTGGCCCAAGCAGCATCCACCTCTCTCAGAGCCCGTGCCAGGATTGGGAGCAGTTGGGCAGATGCCCATCCTCCACATCCAGCGCCGTGCTCCTTCCTCGGCTTGGGGTGATGACACCCAGCTTGCTCTGACCACAGGAGAGCACACGGTCCAGGACCTGCCACCCCAGCACAGAGGGGACAGACACTGCAGTGCTTGGGGCCCCCTGGGATGCCTGTGCTGCTACTTGGAGGGACTGGCTCCGTCCCAGGGCTGTCTTGAAAGCGATCCTCTGTCTGCTGTATACCCAGCCCAGGGGAAAGTGGTGTCGATGCCACTCTTGCTGCACAATGTGGTCCTCAGGGCTGTGTGACAACCATCCAGGGACATCCCCGACATGGCCACAAGCACCGGCACAGCCCCTGCCATGGTTCTGCCTGTGTAATGCTGGTGCTGGTATGGTTCCAGGCATCCTTCACATCTGTGGTGAGGGGCTCGGCAGCCTGGCGGCAGGTGGGAAGCTGGGGGGGACATGTCCCTTGCCCCAGTGGAGAGTCAGCAGTGGCTGCAGCTGGCGGGATGGGAGGGCACATCACATGGAAGCCAGTGTCAGGGTCCAGATAAGGCAGCCCGGTCCCCGTGTGAAGAGAAGTCCTCAGTCTGCAGAGATGGCTTGGCCCCGCTCGGCAGCACAGCACTGTTAGCCACAGTCACCTCCCAGCCTGCCATTGTCCTCCAACCCTCTGCCTCCCAAACCTCCCAACACCAGCTGTCAGAGCCAAGCCGTGCTGTGCCGCCCTCCTGCACCCCGCTGCAATCCCACAGTGGCTGTGCTGGCACTGCTAGGCTAGGCACACGCTCAGCTCCCCCCATCCCTCCCGCCCCTCACCTGGGCTTTGCGCCCACGGTTGACGAAGGCGCAGATGGGGTTGTAGGCGCCAGTGCCACACACGTAGAGGTGGGTCCGGTTCCAGGGCTGGATCAGGCGGATGAAGTTGCCACACTCCCCCTGGGAAGCAGAGGAGGAGGTGCCAATGCCAGCAAGGGGACAGGGACACCCTCCCTTCTCACTGCCTGCCAGCATCCCCCACTGGACCGTGGAGTAGGAGCTGGGAAAGGGAGAAAGCAGGCCAAGGACCTTGGAGGGTGGGAGTTTGGCATGGGGCATGGACTGGCTTGGGACATGGCATGTGGCCCATAGGTTGGGGTGAGGCCACGGGTTGACATGGTCATGGGTTGGCATGGTCATGGGTTGGCATAGCTGGTGAGCTGCCATCGGCTGTGGGATGGCATGGGGTATGGGACAGCATGGGACTGGCTGGTGGGAGGAAACAGTGCGGGTAGCTTGACCTCCTACTCGCCCATGAAGCTCTCCAGGACCCACACAGCTGGGACAGAAGGGGTGGCAGGACACCATGACATCTTGGAGTGCCACCCCTTCTCAGCATGGTTGCAGATGCTGCCACACTACAGGGGACTGGGGGGCTGGCTTTTCCAAGGTAGGACATGAGGACATGAATCCCACTCTGATGCTGGCCACCAGCCCTGCCACTGCTACCAGAAGGGGATTTGTGGTGACCACTCACGTTGCTGTTCTTGCCTGACAGGATGCACTCCTCAATCCTCTGCTGGGATGCAGGCCAGTGGATCTGTGGAGACACCAGCCCAGGGAAGATGAGGGCACCCACTCGGCCCCACTTCTTCCCCACCAGCACCAGTGATGCCCATCAAATCACAGAATCACAGAATCATCTAGGTTGGGAAAGACCTTGAGGGTCATCCAGTCAAAGCATTAACATAACACTGACAGTTCCCAACTATACCATATCCCTAAGCACTAAGTCGACCTGACTCTTAAACACCTCCAGGGATGGGGACTCCACCCCTGCCCTGGGCAGCCCATTCCAACACCTAACAACCCCTTCTGGAAAGAAATGCTTCCTAATATCCAGTCTAACCCTTCCCTGGTGCAACTTGAGGCCATTCCCTCTTGTCCTATTGCTTATTACTTGGTTAAAGAGACTCATCCCCAGTTCTCTGCAACCTCCTTTCAGCTAGCTGTAGAGGGTGAGCTCTTGCCCTGGCACCGAAATGGCCCATCGGATGCCTGGTTACACCCCTTCCATCTGTCCCCCCCACCCTGCGGTGGCAGCTTACAATGAGGGGCTCGCGGTTGATGTCGTGGAGGTCCAGTGAGAGGACGTAGTCCTTGCTGCCCACGTACATGCGGTCGTGATCCTCGTCTTTCAGCAGGATGCGGTAGTCGCTGGAGTTGAGGAGGAAGTTGAAGAAGTGTGCCGTGCCTGTCGCCTTCAGCTCTGCAGGGCAAAGGGGCAGGTGTCAGCACCCCAGGGCCCCTCGCCTTTCCCGGTGCCATCCCTGTTCCACCTGGAGGACATCCTGCAAGAGGAGGTGTCCATCTTCCGGCCCTGTGGTGCCCACTTCCCCCTCTATGAGCACCATGATGCTGCCACCTCCATGCAGGACACGGGACAATGACGGAGATGCTTACAGGCAGTTGGGACAACCAAGTGTGGCGCCGGGGGAAGGGGCAGTAGGATCTGGGCTCAGGAGACCCAGCACCCCACAGCAGGGAGTGGAGCTCCCCACCAAGACAGGGCATGAAGTGGGGGGGCTCCCTGGCACCCCAGCCAAGAACCTGCAGCTCCCAGAATCTCCAGCATCATCCCTCTCCTGCCCTGTGACCCCATGTCCCAGCCAGGCCACTGGTTCCTTGGATGGGGGAGCTGGGACCCCAAGGAGCCAGCTCCTGGGGAGGGGACAAGACTCTTCCCACCCCATGTACCCCATCCCCCCTTAGGAAGCTATTTTTAGCCTGAGTGTGGGAGCAACGAGTGAAAGAGGATAATGAGGGTCATGAATATTCACAAGTGCAATGAGGCAGCCAGATGGAAGGCAGAAGTGCTGCAGATGATGTGGGCCGGTGCCAAGGACCACGCAGCAGGGGCGAGGGCACAAGTGAGACAGAGGACCCTACCCCCATGGGACACTGTCTGCCATCCCTTTTGGAGGCACCACCCCCTTTGGATGCCATCCCCCAGTCATCAGATGCCACCTCGATGGGATGACATCTGCCCTGGATGTCACTCCCTTTGGAGGTGCCACCCCTTTGGATGCCACCAACAGTCATTGGATGCCACTCCCAGCCATCAGATGCCACCCCCATGGCACGTCATCTTCCCCATATGCCACCCCCTTTGGAGGTGCCACTGCCTTTGGATGCCACCAACAGTCATCAGATACTACCCCCTGCCAACGGATGCCAGCCGCATGGGATGCCATCTGCCCCAGATGCCACCTCCTTTGGAGGTGCCACCCCCAGCCATTGGTTGCCACTCCCATGGGATGCTGGCCCCATGAGCATCCCCACCCTGCAGAGCTTGTCCCTCCATGCAAGGGCATGCCCTATGTGGGTGCTGGATGCTGGGGCTGGGGAAACCCCTGGGGACCCCTGCTTCCCAGGCGGGAGTGGAGCAGGGTCCCGCACGCCGGCAGCGGGAAGGAGCACACTGACTTCCAGGCAGGGCCGGGCAGGGCTCCAGTCGCTAACTGCCATTCCCAGCCAGAATGCCAAGTGCCTGCAGATCTTCCTGACCTCCAGCCTCCCAGTCCCATGGGGGACTGGCAATACCCCACGGGTGTTCTCATGGTCCCTTCCCATCCTGCACACCCTGGGAACATTGGGAGTTTCCCACTTTGGGGAACAGGAGTGATGGGGGAGCTGTGCCCTGCACCCTGACATCCCGGTGGTGCCAGAGACCCCCTTGCACAGCCCTGAGGACCCCCTGCTTGGCATCCCAGGAGTGGGCTGAGGGGCTGGCAGGGGGGCGAGCACCTCCAGGGCAGGGTGGGCACCCACTTTCCTACTGACCAGGGCAAATGTGGGGTATCCATGGGAGCCCACACCAAGGGGCCAGAGGGGTGCCCAGGCATTGCTAGATCCACGCCCATGCGTGTCACTGGGAGAACCCGCTCTGTTCCACAGCTGGCAGTGGTGCTGCCCAGTCCCCAGCCCCGTGGCAAGGCACCCGCAGCCTGCTGGGCCCCACTCAGCTGCAGCAGTGAGGCCAGTACGTGCCAGGCACCACGGGGCGGAAACCTGCCAGGGCAGGCTGTGGGAAACGGCATCATGGGACGTGACATCAGCCTCCCCCCGGCCCGGGGGTCTGCCCGGGCTGGATGGACGGGGTGAGCATGGTGGGCACGTGGAGGGGCTGGCGGTTTGGGCTGCGGGCAGGGGGCTGCCCCCCACCACAGCAGAGGCGGGGCGGCGCAGTGCAAAGGATGGGGGGCCGGGGGGGGGCTGCCCACCCTCCCACC